CTGTTTATGGACTTCTTCCCTGGCTGCTTGGAAGAAAATACTAGAAGTGGATGAATCCATCTGGATATACTGGAGTGATGTTCAGGAGAGAGGTTTGGGCCAGCATAGAAATACGGAAGTCAGGTGGAAGGAACAAGGATGCTGTAGGGGTGTCAGGAAGTTATCTAATTGGCCTCACCTACAGAAAATTGTCTTCAAGTAAAATTGGATGTAAGGCAGAAACTTACCTTTCCTTCTGAGTGTGTCATAATGCAAAGTGAACTTCAACCAGTGACCCTAGGACTCTACCCATGTGCACAGCTCCCCCAAAGGTAGATGTAGGATATGTGTGTGTGCCAGTCTGTGAGAGTGGGATTTTTTTTTTTTTTTTGAGATGGAGTTTCACTCTTGTTATCCTGGCTGGAGTGCAGTGGCATCATCTCGGCTCACCACAAACTCCGCCTCCCAGGTTCAAGTGATTCTCCTGCCTCAGCCTCCCGAGTAGCTGGAATTACGGGCGCATGCTACCATGCCTGGCTACTTTTTGTATTTTTAGTAGAGACGGGGTTTCACCATGCTGGCCAGGCTGGTTTTGAACTCCTGATCTTGTAATCCGCCTACCTCGGCTTCCCAAAGTGCTGGGGTTACAGGCGTGAACCTCTGCACCCAGCTTTTTGTTGTTTTTATAGGGACGGGATCTTGCTATTTCATTCAGGCCAAACTTGAACTCCTGGACTCAGCCTCCTGAGTAGCTGAAACTATAGGCATGTGCCACTGCTTCCAGTTGTGTGGGTGTTTAGCTACAGTAACTAGCTGTATTTCCCATCACTGACTTTTGATATAATATGTTTAAAAGCAACTCATATATTAAATAACATTGTGTTTAGTACTATAGAGTCTACTAGCTTTTCCCTTGCCATCAGCTTTACCCTGTCATACCCCTGAAGGCCCATTTACACCTCATGGTCACACAAGTCTATTCATGCAATAAAATTTCAATTACACACACACACGTGGTATCAAACCAGTGAAATCCGAATAAGGTCCACTGTTTGGTTAACAGTACTGTATAAATTTCAATTTCCTGGTTTTGATGATTATACCATGGTTATATAGATATTATGTTATCACCAGGGTAGGCTAGATAACAGGTACATGGGAACTCTCTTTGCTATTTTGGCAACTTCTATCCAAGTCTAAAATTCAAAATAAAAGGTGTTTTTTTTTTTGTTTGTTTGTTTTAAAATCCAAGGGGGGATATCCTTGCAGAACTGGCCATTAAAAAATTTTAGGCTCTAAATTCTTTTCCGTAATGGCTAAAATTTAAAAGAACAATAACAGTATCAACTCTTGGCAAGGATGTGTCATAATGAAAACTCCCAGAAACTGCTGAAGACTATATAAATTCATATAGTCACACTGGAAAAAATGTATAGTAATATCCACTAATATTGATAATCCCAGCATTTTGGGAGGCTGAGGTGGGAGGATCTCTTGAGCCTTAGGAGTTTGGGACTAGCCCAGATAGAGTGAGACCCTATTTCTCAAAAAAAAGAAAAAAAAAAAGGAAGAAAAAAAATCTAATGTTGAATATGTATATCACATGAAGCAGTAATTCCAATCCTAGGCATGTCCCAATTTATATAAATGTCGAAACCAGGTAAAATTATAGAGTTAAAAGTGGTTATTGGTCAGACACAGTGGTTTACATCCATAATCCCAGCAATCTGGGAGGCTGAGGTGGGAGGACTGCTTGAGGTCAGGAGTTCCAAACCAGCCTCGTTAACATAGTAAGACCTTGTCTTTGCAAAAATAAAAATATTAGCTAGGTACGGTGGTGTGCCTATAGTCCCAGCTACTTGGGAGGCTGAAGTGGAAGGATCCTTTGAGCCCAGGAGTTTGAGGCTGCAGCAAACCATGATTGTGCCACTGCACTCTAGCCTGAGCAACAGAAAAAAAAAAAAAAAAAAAGAGGTTATCTAGGGCAGGTGGAGGTTGCAGTGAGCCAAGATCATGCCATTGCACTCCAGCCTGGGCAACAAGAGTGAAACTCTGTCTCAAAAAAAAAAGAAGAAAGAAAAGAAAAGAAAAAGAAATGTAGAAATAATCTACATGTAGAATGATTTAAGCATCTTTTCTAAGTTTATCAATACATTTGACCAAGTCATCAGGTTGGATGCAGCTATAGTTGCCATCTCAATGATCAATGGGATACTGAAGGTGGGTGTGGGGAGGGAGGGGTTGCCGTCTGAGATACAGGAAGGTATACTGAGGCCTGATTCCTTCTAGATGTTTTGAAGCTTATTCAACTTGCCTTAATGCCTAGGTATTCGAGAGCCAGTTCCTGGCAAGTCCAGTTTTCATTTTGTAACATTACTTGTAGCTGAATTATGTTTTTCCTTTTCTTTGTTTTTCCTATTTTTGAGATGGATTTTTGCTCTGTTGCCCAGGCTGGCATGCATGGTGTCTCGGCTCACTGCAAGTTCCATCTCCTGGGTTCAAGTGATTCTTTTGTCTCAGCCTCCCAAGTAGCTGGGATTATAGGCACATGCCACCATGCCTGGCTAATTTTTGTATATTTAGTAGAGACAGGGTTTTGCCATGTGCCGAGGCTGGTCTCGAACTCTTGACCTCAGGTGATCCACCCACATTGGCCTCCCAAAGTGCTGGAATTATAGGTGTAAACCACCACACCCAGCCAATTTTTCTACCTGTCTGTCCCAACTTTGCTACATTTATCTTGACATTCTAATTTACATATAAAAATAGCTTCTACTGGGAGGCTGAGGTGGGCAGATCACTTGAGTCCAGGAATTCAAGATCAGCCTGGGCAACGTGGCAAAACCCTGTCTCTACTTAAATAAATAAATAAATAAAAAGCTGGCAGCTACTCAGGAAGCTGAGACAGGAGAATCACTTGAACCTGGGAGGCCGAGGTTGCAGTGAGCTGAGATTGCACCACTGTACTCCAGCCTGGGTGACAAAGCCAGTCTCCATCTCAAATAATAATAATAATAACCTTACAAAATAAAGGAGTAGTGAATATTACACTCAACCATTAGCCTCATTACAAATTCTCTTAGGGTGTTTATTGATGATATAGACGATAAATATATATACAGTTGCGATCAGTATCCATATACTTCTCCTTTTCTCTCTCTCTTTTAGATGGAGTTTCACTCTTGTTGCCCCAGGTGGAGTGCAATGGTGCAATCTCGGCTCACTGCAACCCCCATCTCTGGGGTTCAAGCAATTCTCGTGCCTCAGCTTCTCAAGCAGCTGGGATTACAGGCATGCACCATCGCACCCAGCTAATTTTTGTATTATTAGTAGAGACAGGGTTTCTCCATATTGGTCAGGCTGGTCTTGAACTCATGACCTCAGGTGAAGGGCATACCTTGGCCTCCCAAAGTGCTGGGATTACAGGCGTGAGCCACCACACCGGGCTCTCCTTTTCTCTTAACCTTATTTTCCCACAGGTACTTTTCACCTTTTTTAACTACATACATTATTTTCTTTGGGTTCACCTATTTGTCCTAGTAGGTAGCTACAAAGTATTCCACTTGAATGATCTATGTTGAGCTTTGACTTAACTAATTCTAATCTTCAAAGGAAGCACAATTCCTCTGTATCCATCTCTAATAGGTCAGTATGGACCATCTGTTTCACTCCTGCTTCTTCCTCAGAGTTGCAACTCTACTATTTTCACCAGCTGTTTCAAAACAGAGTTCATGAAGTAGCAGGTTAAAATACGTGGATCCTTTAAAGTAATTTCTTTTTTTTTAACCAAGTTACACAATGACTCTGTATGTCCTGTTTTATCTTCTGTTGTTCATCTGTATAGGACCATTTTCATTCTTTTATTTTAAAAGTTCTATTTTTTATTTTTAGTTTTTGGAGACAGGGTCTTGCTCTGTCGCCCAGGCTGGACCAGCAGTGGCCAGGCTGGTCTCGAACTCCCAAACGCAGCTGATCCGCCTGCCTCGGTCTCCCAAAGTGCTGGGATTACAGGCGTGAGCCACCGCGCCCGGCCATATGTGGGGTTTTACTGGAACAAAACCTCTACTTAATAACAGCGGATCCCCTTTTATTTTATTTGTGCCTACCTGGATGCATGGTTCAAGGATGTTCTTGTCACTAACCACAAGCCCACCAGAGGGCGCTGGTTCCCTGTCTACTCTTCTCTATCGACGACTCAGAAAATCCAGGTTAAACACTCAGGCAGTCTCACTCACATTTAATCCCCAAATATTTGCAAAGAATTTGCCATGCCACCAGACACGGGGCTAGGTTCACAAAATACAGTAGTGAGTTAGGCACGATTCCTACCAGAAGCTTAGAGCATAGCAAAGACCGAAATTAAGCAACCAGCTACAGTAGCGGGAAAAGTGAAGAGTTTCTGTCTGTGGAGTTTGTTGCTGAAATATCGGCTCCAGGTCTTAGATGCCGGTAGCAATTCATTAAGAGATTCCGAACTTGCTTCTGTTCTGTATCCCGGGCAAGGAGTTCCGTCCCCAGAGACCTCTCCTTGGGTAACTCCATTCGTCAGCCCCACAAGTCCCCAACTCTGGCCTTTTTTCAGGGTTTCCAGCAGCTCTCTGACAGTTACCCTTCTGCCCTAGATCGACACTTCAGTTGCCTTGAAGGCCAAGGACCAGGGATTACGACTACAGGCCAGAGGTGGCTCCGCCCTTTCCTTTTCCTGTTTAAAATCCGCGGGCTCTTAGTGTTCTCGGTTCCTAGATTTCCTGTTCTGATTCTCGCGACAATTGCAAGGACCTCGCGTGTAGTTCCCTTCTCGTCCCTCTTTCGAATTGGAGACTGGGAGAGAATATCTGCCCTTGCCCACATCCTCAAAACCCCTCTGGCCAAGGATGGCGCCTGCGTGGCTCAGCAGCCCGAAAGAGCTTGGCCAAGCTCAGGAGCACTCTCCAGAATCCGGGCTGGACCACCGGAGCTCCAGTGCGCATGCGGAGCCGATCTCGCGCAGGCTGGCGGGGGCCGCAGGCTGGCCGTGTGGGCGGAGCCTGACTAAGTGCCGCCCCCTCGCCGGCCGCAGATTGCAGTTTCCTCCCCCTGCTAGCTGGACTGCGCCGCAGCTTCAGTGAGCTGCGCTGGACCGGCCGGGGCGGGGCCTGGCCGACCCGGGTTTGGCGGGCTGGTCCCCAGGAATGCCTCATCCCCGCCCCAAAGTGCCACGGTGGCGGTGGTGGCGGCCGCGAGGCCCAGTGCCTCCGGCCCTGCCAGCCTTGCAATCATAACCTGTAATCCGGACCTGAGGGACGCCCGCCGGGGAGGCGCCAGCCTGCCTCTCCTTGCGGCCACTGGTCGCCTCCGACCTCAAATCACCCGGCTCACTCGCGGGTCGCAGCACCTGCCGGATGTGGGGAGGAAGGAGGAGGCCAGATGAGGGAAGGCCGATGTAGGCGCCCACTCTGTCAGCGCCTCGGTAGGGCAGCGGGGTGGGCAAGCCTGCAGTCGCTCCCGGCAACCAGCCCTGGGCTGCGGGGAGACGAAGTTGGTTGGTCCTGCTCTCCAAGAGCGCCCCGACATCGACGTAAAATGACTTGGCACCAGAGCTCCTGCTGCCTCCCCCTAATGCAGTTGCCCTCGCCGATGCCAGGGACTGTAAAGTTAGATGGGACAGGGCCTAGCGATTCACCCAACGCTTTGAGCTTCCCAGCCAAACTCCTACCCTCACTCCCCGCCTCCGGTCCTCATCCCCTTCCTCTCTCCCAGCCTCGGTGTCTGGTTACGGCTCCTCTGCTGGCATTGTGACTTTGGGCCAAGCTGGGGGAAATGGCCCGGGAGGGTTTCTTGCGGCTGCAGAAAATTGGCAGCCTTAGAACTAGTGGAAGGCGGGTGCGCGACATCGAGGGGCGGAGAGAGGGGGGCGGAGGAGCTGCTTTCTGAATCCAAGTCTGTGGGCTCTCTCAGAAGTCCTCAGGCCGGAGCAGAGGTGGCTGGCGGGACCGGCTGACTGCAACCCTGCTTTCTTTCCATCATCTTCTCTTTCGGACTCGAATCATAGCTGCTCCGAAGGGCGTAGTCCAGGACACTAGGTGAGCACCCTGCGACCCAGGCCATACACAAAGGGGCATCAGTTCCCCCCCCCCCCCCCCCATTAACAGCTTCTTCTGGAGCCGTCCATTCTCTTTGGGCAAGGATGCTCAGGGGCATCGGAGTCGAATGGTGAACAGAAGTGGTGCTGGCGGTGGGTGTGCATGCGCGCTCCTGAGCCTTATCACCCTTCCTCACCTCTCTTCACTCCCAGCCCCCCCCCCAACAGCCCAATTGATTGCCAGCGGCCACAACTGGATAATCCCTAGAGGGTCACTAGGCCTTTGTGTTGGGGGAGTCTGCTTGTTAGTAGGGGAGGGGGCGACGCTAGCGTCATGCTTTGGTATAAAAAGCAGTGAGGTTGGTCTTTCGGCACAGGCCCTGTTTCTGACCTCCTGACCTGGCTTCCCTTCCTGGCAGGGTGCTGAGAACGCTCTGATGCTCCGAGTGCTCGCAGGGCTTCCAGCTAACCATGCCGCCGCTGCCCGCAGCTGCCTTGGCGCTGCCTCTGCTCCTGCTACTGCTGGTGGTGCGGACGCCGCCCCCGACCGGCGCAAGGCCGTCCCCAGGCCCCGATTATCTGCGGCGCGGCTGGCTGCGGCTGCTAGCGGAGGGCGAGGGCTGCGCTCCCTGCCGGCCAGAGGAGTGTGCCCCACCGCGAGGCTGCCTGGCGGGCTGGGTGCGCGACCCGTGTGGCTGCTGCTTGGAATGCGCCAACCTCGAGGGCCAGCTCTGCGACCTTGACCCCAATGCTCACTTCTACGGGCGCTGCGGCGAGCAGCTTGAGTGCCGGCTGGACACAGGCAGCGACCTGAGCCGTGGAGAGGTGCCAGAACCGCTGTGTGCCTGTCGCTCGCAGCGCCCGCTCTGCGGGTCCGACGGTCACACCTACGCCCAGATCTGCCGCCTGCAGGAGGTGGCCCGAGCTCGGCCCGATGCCAACCTCACTGTGGCACACCCGGGGCCCTGCGAATCGGGTACGAATGACCCGGGGCCTCCACCCCCAACACTTAAACTTCCTGGAGTCACTGGTCCCCGACCACAGACGACATTGGTCTCTAGCCAGCGGAGCCAAAAAGATAAGGCCGTAGAGGCCTCGAGTCCAGTATAAAACCCTGCTCTCGCTACTGGTCCATAGAAGCTGCCACCTGAAGGTGGGGGTGGGGGATGGAGTGGAGTGGGGGTCCTAGGCTTCGTCAGCAAGCTGCATGTGCTGAACCACGTGAAAGCTCCAGAGCTGGCTGGCAGGGAGGAACAAGTCCTCTGATAGTGCTGGCACATATCCTGTGGTTGGCTCCAAGACCCTAACACTTTTCCCAGACCAGTGGAGTCCAGGCAGCAAGACGGGTTCCTGTGAGATGCAATCACGTTTCATTTGGGCAGATTCTTAGAGCAGTCTGTTCACCCAGTCTCCCCACCTCTCTCTTTTCTCCTGCATTTAGGGATTAGTGAATGGGAGTGGGGAGCTCAGCTAGTTCTCTCTATCCCCGGGGACTGGGGGACATTCAGGCCTCTAGTTTTCCTTGGCGGCTTTAGTAACTTTCACTTCCTGAGCCCCCGCTCTGGGTCTGGCTAGGCTGGGGCAGCCAGAAAAAAAACACTGCAGGGTCCCAATAATTTCCTCCTCTCCTGCAGGCTTCCTGCCTGTCTCGAAAGTTCAGCTTCAGCTTCTCGGCCTTGGCGCAGGACACCCCCAGGGGGTGCGGTGGAGGGAATGGCTTCTCTTCTGGCCCTTGGGAACTGAGCCTGTTTAGAAAAGGGGGAAGGGGGGCCTGGAGGTGTTGATTACTGGCATTGCAGGAAAGGCTGGGGAGGGTGGAATGAGGACAGGGGAGCAGCTGGGGACAGAGTGGCTGCCAAGATACAGTGTAGGTGTGTGTGCTTGTTTGTGCATTGGGTCTGCATAGGATTCTGTGCACATGTGCATGTATATCTCCACATCTGCATGGTACCCTCCTGTGTACCAGCATCCACATCTGTGTGTACCTGTGCTTGTCATGATGTGTTTATGGATGTGTTATTTACCTCAGCATATATTATGTTCTGCCACAAGCACATCCACAAAAATTTGTATATCATGTCTTTGCTGGACCAGATGCCTTTGCTGGGCCATGCTGTTCTCATACCTCCCACCTTCACCCCCAGGGCCCCAGATTGTGTTGCATCCTTATGACACTTGGAATGTGACAGGGCAGGATGTGATCTTTGGCTGTGAGGTGTTTGCCTACCCCATGGCCTCCATTGAGTGGAGGAAAGATGGCCTGGACATCCAGCTGCCAGGGGATGACCCCCACATCTCCGTGCAGGTAGACACCGGTGGGAGAGGCTTCCCTGAGGCAGCCCAGGGCCCTCCAGAAGGACCCTGCTGATTCCTTGTCTGGCTCCAGTTTAGGGGTGGACCCCAGAGGTTTGAGGTGACTGGCTGGCTGCAGATCCAGGCTGTGCGTCCCAGTGACGAGGGCACCTACCGCTGCCTTGCCCGCAACGCTCTGGGTCAGGTGGAGGCCCCTGCTAGCTTGACAGTGCTCACACCTGGTAAGGGGATCCCTGAGCCCTGGGGGTTGGGGGGGATGGTTCTGGATTCCAGCTGTGAATGTGTAAGAAGCAATCCATGTGTCTGCATGCATTTGGGTGCATACACAAGCATAGCCTTCTGCAGACTGAGCTATGTGGGCAATGACAGCCCCTCTTCCCTGTTCTCTGTCCTTTGCCCACGTGTGTTTGCAGATCAGCTCAACTCTACAGGAATCCCCCAGCTGCGATCATTAAACCTGCTTCCTGAGGAGGAGGCTGAAAGTGAAGAGAGTGATTACTACTAGATCCAGAGCTCTGGCCCATGGGAGTGGGTGAGCGCCTATAGTGTTCATCCCTATTCTTGAAAATACCTGGAAAGGGGAGCAGGGTACCTTCATGGACTGCTTTCATGCTCTCAGTAGGGGTGATCATGGGAGGCCTACTTGACTCCAAGGTAGCATGGTGGTAGGGGAGAGAGAAAAGCTAGAGGAGGATAGGGAGAGAGGCTGAGACCAGGAGTGGTGGGGTACAAAGGAGCCCATGCAGGAGGTGCCCTGGCCAGTAGGACCTCCAACAAGCTGTTCCCCAGGCTGGGGTGGGGGCTGGAGCAGACACAAGAGGTGCAGGCACCAGGATCCTCCACTTCTTCCAGCCCTGCTCAGCTACTCTTCTAACTGCTTTTCCTCCCAGGCCCTGGTTCTTGCTCTTTCCTGGTCCCCAACATTTACCTAGCTTGTTTACCCTTTCCCCAAAGTCATCTTCCAGAACTTTTCCTTCTCTCCTAAGCCCCAGTTGCACCTACTAACTGCAGTCCTCTTTGCTCTCTGCCGTCTTTTGTACAGGAGAGAGTGCAGCGGAGCATGGCTTAGTTCAGTGCAGAGAGATGGGCGAGGTCAGTCCCCAGATCTTATACCACTCTGTATTGGGCAAAGCCTAGCACAGGGCTAGGCACCAATAAAGATTTCTAATGAACTAGGCCACACAGACGCACACACAGTTTATGCAGTTGTGCACACGAAAATGGAATATCCCTGGGAGGCCTCCCACACTAGCAGAACTCTGGCTTCCAGAAGCTGCAGGGCCTGTTCTCTAAGCACATGCCTGCCAGATGTACAGAGAAGGCTTGAACTTGGGCCTACCCTGCCTTTGAGGGAGGGAGGTGGGGCCATCTGGTTGGAGGGAAGGCATAATCCCAGTCTGCCCTCCACTGGGGCTGGTATAGACACCTGCTTCTGTGCTTATCTTACCGAACACTTCCCCAGGCAGAATGGGGAATCAGGCCTGTGTGGATAGCCCCCCCCAAATGAAAGCATAAACTGGATAGAGGGGAGCAGAAGTTTGGTCACCTGTGTGGTCCATACCCTTCCCCAGCTCGGATAGGAATCTACTCATTTCCCTGCAGAAGGCAGAGCCATAGTAAGCCTGTTTCCTATTTGTCCCAATTGTGACCCGTCCTATCTGGCTTGGGGTCCCTCCCAGAACTACATTCTTGGGCTCCCCAAGTCTCTTTCCTCATTCTCCTTACCTAGCCCAGGGACACTGGTGAGATTCAATGTTTATTTAATGATTGAAGCGTAAGTCAGCGAGGCCGAGACACTGTGTGTGGATAACGACGGCCTCCTATACGCCAGGGCTCCACCGGGATCCTGGCGCCACTGCGGGAGGGCCTGCCCTTGGATCTGCGTCACAGTTTGTCCTCTGGGGCCGAACGCAGGCAGCCCAGTCTCCTGGGAGGGGCATGGTCCGGAACTCCAATCCAAGGGCTTGCCTGGCCGCCCCTCCTGCGGCTACGCACTACTCCATCTACTGCTGCCTTGCCCCCAGCCCCTAAGCCAGCGACAGATTTTATTGCCGAACCCGGGCTGGAGCCGGGCGGCCCCAGGAGCCGTGCAGCCGTGCAAGCGGGTTGGATACCGGGAGCCGATTCCAGGGAGACCACCCAAGCAGAGGCAGAGGGGTAGGCGGGGGTGGGGCGTGCTGTTCGGAGTCGTGGCCAGAATCCTCTGGGCGCTGAAAGAGGGGACGTGGGTGTAAGTCCCAGCATCAACCAGGTAATTCGCCCCCTAGTTTAGTTTGCTCTTCACCCAACTGGACTCCTAGGCGCCCTCTGCGGGCCCATAGCTCCTATCGCGCCCACCTGCAGGGCAGAGGCTCCTCGCCAAAAGCCCCACCCCACCGGAGAGGGTCACGCAGGTCCCGGGGGAATCCGTACTTCTAGATCGCGTTAGCCGACTTTGTAGGTGTTCAGGAGCAGCCTCCTAGCAGCCTCAGTTTCCCCCTCCACCGTCGTGCTGGTTCAAGCCCCGCAGCCTGGAATGGGAAAACTGTTGCCCACCGCCCCCCTCCCTCCCCGCACCCCGCCTCTGCTGCAGCGGACCCGCTTTAATAACGTCGCTGGAAAGTGACACGCGATTTATTATTAAAGTAATGCGGGCGCGGGGACGGGAAAGGTTTAATAAACGTGCTGAGATGCCGAGGATTATTCACCGCAAATAAATGAGAACGCGGGCGGCGTTTTAATAAATAATTTCCTGCTGCTCCCGGGGGAGGGAAGGGGAGGGGAAAGGAGGAAGATGGGGAGGCTGAGCCGCTGCCAGAACTCCCGGCTTCGCCTCCCCACGGGCTTCCAAGCCATCCCCGCGTTCTGTGTCCTAGGTTGCTCATACCCGAGATGTGAGGCTCCAAGAGCTCCAACCCAGAGTTGCCCAGGCCTGAAGGCGGGAGAGGCTCAGTCGCACCCTGCTTCCCCCACCGGGAGATTTTAAGTATAGTCCTCTTGAAATCCCTGGAATGCGCTTTCTTCTAGCTCCTACCGGGAGCCAGGACCGACCGGGGCAGGAAGGGTTCCTCGGACCAGCCCCTCCCAAGCCTAGGTTTCCAGGTCTCAGCCGGGCTCTTCGCCCAGCTTTTAGCTGAGCCGGGCTGGGCGTGCGTCTCTCCTCCACCTAGGGCAGGGGGTGAAGAAGAAGCCAGAGGGGGCTGTCTGCAAATGACCCTAACCCCTCCTCGGGCTGTCGTGAGGAGGCAGGCCGCTTCGTCTGGATGCTTGTCACCGCGAAGGCGCCAGAGAAGGGTTGCGCAGCCGTGCTGCATAACTGAGGGTGTCTGAGCGAAGCCCAGCCCCTGGCGCTCTGGTGACCGGGGGTCGCTGTGCGTACTGAGCAGAACTGGAGCTCGAAGCCGGAAAGCGACCCTCAAAAAGATGCCTGAAAGCCGGAAAGATGAACCCGACCCAGAGAGCTCCAAGACTGCAGACCCTGGGGACCGAGGACACGCTCACCACGCTGGTGGGGGCTGGGGGAAGGGCGCGGGCGGTTCGGGGAAGCGCCAGAGGAACTCCTGGCTCTTGAGTTTTAGCACAAATAGGTGACGTCTCTGGTAACACTTAGCAGTACAGGAAGTGGGGAAGGAGTGCTATCTGGTGGATCATTATGGTAGTGACACTCAGACCTGGGCCAGGAACCTTGAGACAATTTACTTGACCTGGAAAAATCTGAGTTAAAAAAAAAAGATGCTTCAATTTGTATTCATTTAATCTATATGAATGTGCACATGTATGTGTAGCATATATTACTATGATATCTGTGTGTGATATCTATATGTAACAAACATCGAATATATTCATAGTTATATGTGCATTGTATGTATACATGTCACAATATATGTATGTGGGTTAAATGCATATATATGTATGTGGATATATTACACCTGTAGTTTTTTTTTGTTTTCGAGATGGAGTCTCACTGTGTCACCCAGGCTGGATTGCAGTTGTGCTATCTCAGATCATTGCAACCTCTGTCTCCTGGGTTCATGCAATTCTCCTGCCTCAGCCTCCCAAGTAGATGGGATTATAGGTGAATGGCACCATGCCCTGCTAATTTTTTGTATTTTTAGTAGAGATGAGGTTTCATTATGTTGGGCAGGTTGGTCTCAAACTCCTGCCCTCTAGTGATCTGCCCGCCTCGGCCTCCCAAAGTGCTGGGATTACAGGCATGAGCCACTTCGCCCAGCTAACTGAATTCTTTCTAAACCAGGAACAGCTGTGTAAGTCCACATGTGGTAAGGAACTGTTAACTCACATCAAGTCTTGCCTCTGCTCAGTGCTGTGGAAGGGTGGGAGTGGGGTCTAGGAGGCTGGCGGTAAGGGGCCAGGTTCTCTGAGGGCAGTGATGAGGGCTCCTAGAGACTGGGAGGGATCAGGTCTGGGAGGCAATGAGCTCTGGGAGTCACTTGCGGATAATGGGGGGTGGTTTGAGCACACTTGGGGAGGAGTAGGGTGGCGGGATAGAGAAGGGGGCAGAGGTGAGTGATGAGGTTGGGATTGGGGATGGAGTTGGGGTGGGGCCAGGGCAGAGACAGAGGCTCTGGGGGCAGGGATACACACATCTGGGGGTGGAGCCTGGAAACCATCTCCAGGAGTCATTCCTCCCTCCCCACCCCCACCTCTCTTCCCCAAGCTGGGCCCCAGTTTAGCCCTCTCTCTGCTCAAGCTGGCTCCCAGATGTGCTGAGGGCAGAGGAGGAGAGCTAACTCCAGGGCCTGGCCTGGTTCAGGTGACTCACTTAAGCGGTGGGCGCGGTGGGGCAGGGCTCACAACACTAGCGTCCCATGAAGCCTTGTCCCAGCCATCTGGGTCACTGCCCACCCAGCTGCCATTACCAGCTTCCAATTAGGGCTCAACCCAAGGGGTTAAAACAAGGGTGGGGCATAGACATGGAAAAGGTCACAGAATATCCACCCATTCCACCAACACATACACACACTTCTAGGGCTTAAGTGGAAAGGTGCTTCTGAATCATTTCTTCCTTTGCCTGCTTTTGCTAGATGCTTTCCAGATGCAGGCAAGTCTGGGAGTCTCCAGGTGCCACCCTACCCCTTGCTCTATGGTAATACTCATACCTCTCCCCTTCCTTCTCACCCTTTCTTGCTGGATTACCAGGGTTTCTGCCCTTCGCTGCCTTTTTCTCCTTTCTTCAGGGCGTCTTATTTTCTCCAGCATTGAGGTCTTAGATCCCTGGGCTGTGTCCTCACTGGTTAGGGAGTGGGGTAGGGGGAGTGTGCTAAAACTGCAAGCTAGTTCTGGGCCTGGATTTATTTTTCTGATTGATTTGTTTTTAGAGGCAGGGTCTTGCTCTGCTGCCCAGACTGAACTTGAGGTCCTGGGCTCAAGAGATCCTTATGCCTCAGCCTCCCGAGTGGCTGGGACTACAGGCACATGCCACTGTGCCTGGCCTGGATTTGGGTTTGGCATTTACTCTGCCATTTGGGCAACTGAAGGCTCTCTGGACACGGTGAACAGTTATGAACGTCCAGTTGTAGTGACAAGAGTTACCCCACAATCAAATCTCAACCCATCCTCTTGGTGGGGAGGACCTTGGGATGGACTTGCAGGTACTGAAATGAGGCCTGGAGTCCCCTGGGAGAAAAGACAGTGTCTCTATAAGAAGTGGTGACAGCTGGAGAAAAGTAATAGAGTCTCCCAGGATAAGGGTTGAGGACTCTAGGGACAATTGCTTCCTGCTACCCCCACCTCGAAAGCTGGAGTAGGGCTGAAGAAGTCCCCACAGTTCTCCTGGGCCTAACTCCTTGGCTTCAGAGGGGCTAAGTTCTGGGGGCAATAGTGAGGGTCGGGGGAGTAATCTCTGAAAGGTAATAGTGAGTCTTTGCACAGGAGGTTTTGCAGTATGAGATTGAGCCTCAGTTCTACTGCTTTTTTTTTTTCTTAAGTCAGTGTGTCGCTTTGTCACCCAGACTAAAGTGGCTTGATCACTGCACCCTTGAACTCTTGAGCTGGAGTAGTCCTCAGCATCTTCAGTAACTGGGAGTACAGGCATGGGCCACCACACTCAGCCAGTTCTACTGCTCTTTAAGTGCATACATTGGGTAGGGTTCTTAACTTTCCTTCTTCTGTGTCCGCTTCTGCAATATAGTGATAAAATTTACTCCATGGGGGTTGTGACAAGGATTAGAGATCTATAAGCAATGTGTCTGGAACAAAATAGTGTTCAATAAACGTCAGTTTTCTATGCATTACTATTTCGGGCAAATGTTCCGCATGGAGATGGGGGCAGGGTGCCCAGTGCAGGGCTTCCTGCTGAAGTCAGTGTGCTAGAAAATGGGGTGATTGCAGTCCTGGCACCTGCCTGGAGGAGGCCTTAGGAATTGGGACTTAGGAAAAGGGGAAGGGCTGAGGCAGGATAGAGATGGGCAGGGACTGGGCTTCCAGAGAGCTCAGCAGTCTTCACCCCCACCCCTAGCGCTCCTCAGGGAGTCCTTGTCAGAACCTCTGGCTCATGAGGAGGGGCATCCCCCAAAGCCACCCCCATCCATCTCTTTTATCTGGGCTGATGAAGGGCTAGAGCTCCAATGGGGCCTCTGATGGGGAACAGATCCAGACCAGGCGGAAGCAGCCGGAACTGTGCTGGGCTGGAGCTCAGGACTGGGCCAGGGGGTCAGTGAAGACAGATAAAGCTCAGAGCAGCTGGAGGCTCAAGGGACCTGGAGTGGGGGAGCAGCAGGGGCTGAGGGCTGGCTCTGTCCTGGGAGGAGGCAAGGCCGGAAGCTTCTGGTGGGGACCAGTGTCCATCAAGGAATTCAAATGACCAGACAAAGCCTTTAATGACTCTTTGGGAGGAGGGCAGTGGGGACAGAGCTGCCTCTCCCAGACATGGGTGCAGGGAGGCCAAGGTGCCTGCTGAGAATGAGGGTTGGCCCCGGGGGAAGTCAAAACTTAGAACAGGAGGAACTCTACTCTCAGGCATAGACCTGAGCATGGGTTCTGGGGCTGCCTTCCTTTAAGGCAGAGAGAGAAGGGAAAAGGATTGGGAAGCGATTCTGTGATTTTAGTTCCTGTTTTAATTAACTTTGAAGGGCTTGGGGCCTCCCTGAACGCCAGGGAGGGGAGCAGAGCAAGCATTTATTTTCCTCTTTTCCCTTTTAAAGACAATTTTATTAAATCACTTTGTTTTCATTCTGGCTTGAACATGGGGCGTTTAAATGGAAAAGTAATTATTTCACCTCGTTTACTTATGGAGAGAGGGGAGTCAGAAAAGGGAGGGACGCCAGTGAGAGGAAGAGGCTGCAGCCTTGAGCCTGCACACACAACCATGCTCATGCTTACACCAGAATCCACGTCCACATGCCTCTCACACTAGCACACATTGTGTATGGTCCCAAATGCAGACACCTCAGTGCTCCATGCACACATCCACATTCCCCTGGTACACACGCCCTCACCACAGCTACACTTACAGACAGAAGCACTCTCTCTCATACACACTCACAATATGTTATGTTCACAGTATAGGCACTGTCAAGTACCCTTACACACCTTCCAAGCACCTGTGGGTGTGTATGCACACACCTGTTTACATACGTGCACACACACACACACCCCCAACATAGTCCAGTACTTCCAAGCCTATTGAATTACATCATCACAAGTACACAGTTTCAGACACACAGTTACACAGACGCTCATTCTCAACACACAGGCATACCCTGACAAGCAGCCTTGGGGACAGACACAGAGGGTGGCATTGTCATGGAGAAGGTGAAACAGTGGTGAAACCCTCCCTCTTACTGGGGTTCCTGAGTCCCCAAATAGACCTAGGCGACTCCATGAGCCCCTTTCTCTGTTCCTGTAAGGTTCTCTGAGTGATTGCTTGTGACCTTGATTTTGTAGCCTCTGGGACAGTTGCTCCCTGCAACTTAACCCCCCATCTCAGATCTCTGGAGCAAGGCAAGAGGCCCTACAGGTTTTCTGGGCTCAGCCGACCCCCGTCAGGACCCAGCTTCTAACTTCGACTTCCCCGATTCCCACCACCCCTCCCTGCCGCGCGAACCAGCGTTGGAGGGGTTAAAACTTCTGTAGCGCGCCCCCCTCCACTCCCACCCCTGGCTGGTACTAGGAGGGCCGGTTCGCCCGTACCTGTACTTTGTCTTCATCTGTCACCCCTTCTGACAGTCAGATACATCTTGTAGGGGGGCGTGGGGGGCGGGGAGCAATAATTAACCTCTCCTGCCTCATCCCCGCCTCAATGCTGCTGCCTCTGCAGCGGTTGCGGCGGGTCGCTGAGGAGAAAGAGGGAGGAGGAGGAGATGGAGACGGGAGAGGGGCGAGGGGAGAAAGCTGGACGCTTCCAGAGCCGGGAGAGGAAAGGCCCTGACATTTTACTGCCCTGCCAACCTCTTTTCCGCACCCTTCTTTCCACTCCTCTTCCTGGGGGAGCTGCGAGCGGATGGGAGAGGCGATCAGAGCGATAGGAGAAGACTTGGCGTACTAACCACCATCCCCTTATAGCAGAGGCTCCTGGCGGGGTAGGGGGCAGAGCGCGGTGGGGAAGACAATCTTCATATAGGAGCTTTGCAAAGGGACCGGCAGACCGTAGGCCATGCTGGGCAGGGGTAGAGAGGGTGGCAGCCCAGTGCTCGTGTTTCATGTGGCTGTCAAATGAACAGAGCTTGTGTTAAGAACCAATTTTTCTTCCAGTCAATGAAGGGGAAGCTGTCTTGGGTTAT